CTGAGAAAATGACATGAAGGCTGTGTTGACCAGTTTGATGGAAGTATTTCAGATTGCATGTGAAAACCCCACACTGTACCCCAGAAGTGCACTGATGTACATAGTTACCATTCAAAAATAAATAAATAAATAAAATCTTTCCAACCGTGCCTATTTTCTTATGAGAGCTAGCTTTCCCAGTGTATAGCACAAAACAAAGTAAGAAATTAATAGTAAAAATTAACAATAAAACCATGTCTCATACTGGACAATGAACATAAGGACTATTTTTAAAATGAAAGCTCCACACATCTCTATAAAGACCTTGGAGGGGCTTTCCTTCTTCTCTTTCTTTCTTTCACAAACTGACCCCAGATTGATTTCCAAATAGGCTCCCTGCCTCAAGGTATTAGGCTGCCTTGCCTCAATCACTTAATATATATATATATATATAGTTGTTTGTTTGTTTTGTTTTTGAGACAGAGTCTCAGTATGTTGTCCTGGGTAGAGTGCCATGGCGTCATAGCTTATAGCAACCGCAAACTCCTGAGCTTAAGCAATTCTCTTGCCTCAGCCTCCCCAATAGCTGGGACTATAGGTGCCCTCTATAACACCCAGCTACTTTTTGTTGTTGTTAGTGTTGTTGTTGTCATTGTTGTTTAGCAGGCCTGGGCAGGGTTCGAACCTGCCAACTTGGTGTTTGTGGCTGGTGCCCTAACCACTAAGCTATGGATGCTGAGCCAAAATATATTATTTTCTTTAAAAAAATTTGGAAGGTTATTAGTAACTACTGGGTCAAGTACACATTTCTCATGTCACATCAGCGTTTCTATCGTAACCTTCCAATTATTAGTCATGTGGGTTCTATCTTCAATCTAGATGAATTAGGCCCTTTTCTGGCCACTTCATGTCATTTCTGCCTTTGCTCAGCCACCTCTATTTGGCCACCTCCCACAATCATGGTCCCTCCAGGTTCTTGCTTATTCAAATCCTATGTGTCATCAAAGACAGGTTAAGCAATCACTATAAGAAGAAAGACTTTCTGATTGATTCTGCTTCAACTTCTGTTCCTTCCAGATGTACTTTATACTAATTGTGCTCATAATGACATAGTAATTTGACTAATGTCCTTAATATTAATTATTTTTACCTACATTGATGCTGTGCTGTCTCTTATATCATCCTTCAGCTATCTCCCTAAACACTTTGGGAGTTGGGACTATGCTCACATACAGCCTTTGTGTCCCCATGCTGCCAGGTACCATGCTGGACACACAGGAAAACCTTAAAGCCTGAGATTTAATTAAAAGTGGCATGATCTCAAATCTTACCTGAGACCACTCCATGGCGATCCACTTGGGGCAATCGAACAGATTGCAAGTCTGCATGACCTTGGGCTTGGGTGCGTACATGCACTTCCATTCCTCCACCTGCAGCACCTCCCCATGCATGGACTCCTCCACACACACGAAGCTCCGCCTCTGAATCCCTCCCCCACAGGACACGGAGCACGCAGTCCAAGGATTATGTTCCCAGCTCAAAAACAAACAAATAAGAATATATTATTTATTTGTTGCTTGCTTGTGCTTGTTTGTGTGTTTCAAGTTTGCAAAGGCGGTTGCAAAAAGTATGGCCTCAAGGGTGTGGGTTGTGGCTCAGTTGAAAGAGCACAGGACTTGAAGTCATAAGACTTTAATCTTAACTGCCACACACAACTTGCCATCACAAGGTACTTAACTCCTCTGAATCTAAGGGGACTAACACACTAGCCCTACTTACTCTTCACAGGGTCATTGTGAGAATTAAATCACTTAAAATATAGAGTGCGAAATCATCTTTATATTGTCGTTAAACTACCAAATATTAACAATGTTACCAGAGAATCACAGAATCTCAAAGTCAGAAAGGACTATACCCATCTAGGAGGGAAAGGGATTCAAATTTCTGATCAGTTGCAATAATTGAGCTTCAGCTGTAATACTCTGGGTGCCCAAGATACACTCAACCCCCCTGGTGACAGGAAACACTGCCTTGTCCATTTCTTACTGTTGAGAGAAAGTATGTTTTCCCTTACCTCTGTAAAGCATCTGATACCTAACCCTTGTACATTTCAAGCTGTGGCTATATATGCTACAGTCCCTTGTAAATGGAAGTAAATTACAGAAAGGAAAAGGAAACACGTAACTCACCGAGGAAGAGGTTGGAAGTGGTCGTAGGGCATAATCTCTTTAAATCCATCACTACAAATGAAATCATTGTGAGCATATCATTTATAAATCAATTAATACATTTATTAATTAACTAATATAAGATTTGACATCCTAAGAGACAGAGGTCTATCAAATTGAAAAATAACAATGCAGAACAGGCATAGTAGCTCACGTCTGTAATCCCAGCACCTGGGAGGCTGAGGTGGGTGGACTGCCTGAGCTCATAGGTTTGAGACCAGCCTGAGCCAGAGCAAGAGCTCATCACTAAAAATAAAAATAGCTGGGCATTGTGGCGGGCACCTGTAGTCCCACCTACTGGGGAGGCTGAGGCAAGAGAATCACTTGAACCCAAGAGTTTGAGGTTGCTGTGAGCTGTGATGCCACAGCACTCTACCAAGGGCAACAAAGTGAAACTCTGTCTCAATAAATAAGTAAATAAAATAAATGAAAACTAAAAATGCCAAGTATTATCAACTATTTCCCCCAATTCAACCACCATCTCTTTAATTTTCAAAACCATCTTTGACCAAAACCATCCTCAGTTCTATATGAAAATATAGCAAATTGAACTGGCAGTATGCTAATCAAAGAAAACTATTTCTCTCAGTTGAGATAAATTCCTTCCTTTTATTATTATTCTGATAAAATATATTAATAATTTTAATACATTATCAGAGTAGTAAGAACTTTAGAAAACCACTTTATTTCATAAAATTTGTCCTTTGAAAGGTCTCTATTAATAATTATGCTCAACCAGAATTACAGGAAATGGGCAGTTTAGTGATAGGAAATGAAATCCACTGAGAACGTTTCCTTTTCCATTTGCACACTTCTGCCTGGGCCAGCTGGCAGACAACTGGGGGACTCTGGGACTTGATACTGTGCTGTTATTTTAAGATACTGCAGCAAAGCCAGGAAACTTCCCCGAGCTGTCCAAGTCAGCAGGTACTAAATTATGCAATAGGATATTTTACACATAGTTTTTTTTACTTTGGCATTAAAACTTTTCACTTCCTTGTACAATGCATTATTTATACTAAATTTAATGCAAATACTTCAGAAGTCTAAGCTGTTTGAAAGCTAAAATGGTGAGCCTGTTTAAAAGCTAAGATGGTGAGTGGTAGATTGACTAGACGTACTTGGATGAAGAGATCTTTAAAATCGTGTAAGTGGAAGATGCTCAGAAAGGGTCATTATAAAGGGCTCTCTGGCAGACAGCCCATGCCGAGAGAGAGCTAGACAGAGTGGTGCACATCCCACTGACCACGTCTATAAACATGGACGTGGGCACCTGCTGCCAGGGCGTACTCAGGCTCAGGCTCAGGAAATGAACCGCACTGCAAAAGGTTGATGAGTCTTAGTCACAGGTGATTGGTTTATTATCAGAGCGAAAAGGGCATGGACCATCACACAGACCTTGATGGGCAAGGGTCCATGCCACATTCCTTCAGTTTGGGTTTTGGCTTCACATTTTCAGGGTAGTAGTGGCAATAATGGTCAGGAACGACTCTCTTCAAGCGGATATCCACACATTCTGCAGAATTGAGCTGATATCCTAAAGTGGCAGAGAAGGGAAGTCTGAATATCACATCAGTTTTGTTTTTACTTGGCTATTACTTGCCACACACTTTTTTTTCCTTGTTAAGAAACTTAACCATAGTGGTTCTCAATCCCAGGTATTCAACAGAACCAATACGGGGTCCCTTCATATTCGAATTAAGTTGGCACCGCTGTGCTGGGGTCCAGGAAATCAGCACTTTTTAAAAAGATTCTGATTCTTCTAAGATGACTAAAATGTGTGGCCAAGATTGGTGAAGACCACTAGGATTGACTGTGGCACATTTAGCATTTATGACTAAAACTTACAGTAGATTCCTTTTAGGAATCGTCTGTGCCCCGGTGGGCTGGTTACTCACTGTCCCCAGTACAGCATCTTCCCTCTTCATTGTCACCACAGCCCTGTGCAAGGCCCTCTCTCTTCTTCCCTGCCACCACTCTCAGTTCAACCCTCCCACCCCCCACACACCTATTTTCATCTATTGTTTATATGTCCTTATACATACAACTGTCTTATAGAGTGTTCTTATATCTTTTTTGACTTGATAAATAATAGTATGACTTCAATCATCTTTTTTTCCTACTTTTCTCATAACATTATGCTTTGAGAGTTATCCTTATACTGGGTTGTATATTTCTTTCCTGGATTGAATATTTCTTTCCTAATATCTATTATTTGCATATGCAATTCAACATGTTGCTCATCTACTGCCCTGAGGTACCTCCAATTCCAATAAATTTTCCCCAAGGAGACTAAAGCCTTGTTCATACAGAGAAGAACAAAATCTGTCCCCATGTATTAGGCTCTGACATGACAGATCCGCCCTAAGTGCTCACTACAAGCCTTGCTGTCTGCACTTCTCCCTCAGAGCCCTCAGAGGGGAAGGAATGAAAATTATTCCCATTTCTATTACATGTAATTTGTGCAGTCTCTGATGCAAGTGAACATTCTGAACAAAAGAGTGCTGTCAACTTAAAAACAACTCGCAAAATGGTGCTTCTAGTTCTTGAAAGATCTGATTCCAGGTTTCTTGTCACTGTGTAAGTGTCATGTTAAGTCAAACTTTTTTTTTGAAACAAGAGTAATTTTCCAAAACTAGAATGAGTTCTTCCAAAAAAAAAAAGGCCAAGAGCCAAGCACTCCACCTCAGTCAATTGATCTAAATGCCTAAAAATACATTTAATGTCCTGATTGCTGAGAGGAATCTGATTTTTATAAACCACTAGACGACTTTCTGCAAGACATGACTTGGACGTAAGCTGAGTTTAGAGGGTGGACTGGTATGCATTATAAAAAGCAGGGTCGAAACCACAAGAATGAAAATCCGAATGGAGTCCATAAAATGTTACTTGGGTGCCAATATCTTCAGAAATTCTACACTATCTGATGGCACAGAAATCCTGGTACTTTCTCCAGATGATCTCAAGGGTCCCGTGTTGATAATTACTGACAAGACCAGGGAAGTCCAGTGAGGTCCCTTGATACTCTAGCGACCAGGGAAATAATTTTCTTGATTACCCCAAACACTCTGAAATGCCATCCACACAAATCATGTAGATTTCATTACTAATATAATTAAATTTTGGTAATGCTTTCCTTGTGGGTTTTATGTGTGTTTTTATTTTTCCCCAAACAAGTACAAAATGAGATTACAGCTCCTTGAGTCAGAGAAAAATCTTTGTCCTAAATGGAAACACACTTTTAAAAGAAGGAGACAGGGAGTATACAGATGTTTATAATTTAGTGAGAGATAATTAATTTTCCTTTTTAATTTTATCACATCTTAGAGATAACAAAAAGTGAAAGAAAGCAGACGGCCTTTCTGTCTTTTGAGCACATGTATTGAGATTCTGCCAGTGTGCAGACAATCTCTGCTGTTCACACATCCTGGGTTATCTCTGGGGACAATCTCGCTGCTAAGTGCTCCCGTGCATGTTTATGGTCCCAGCATGACTGTGTCTTTCTATGGGCCCTCAAGTATAAGACACCCCTGTTCTCCTCTCAAGAATTTAATCAACTGATTAAATTAGCTATCAACATAGCTAAACCCCACTATAAATAATGCACCCCTCACCCCAGCAGAAAGCTTGTCTTTATAATATGGGTGAAAATGTCTTTCTATGTAACTTTGTAAGAGCTAAGGAATAAATTAAAAGAAGAGAGATGTTTGCGTTGGGCGTGATGAGGCACTGCTGTAGTCCCAGCTACTTGGGAGGCTGAGGAAGGAGGATCACTCAAACCCACAAATTTGAGTCCAGTCTGGGTAACATAGCCTGACTCTAAAACTAAAAATATAAAAAAAAATTTAAAAGAAATACATGTTTGTTTTTCCACAGAGTAAGAGTCAAAAACCTCCCACCATCTCTTTGGTTTTCCTGTGAGGTCCACCAGAGACACTGGTCTTCCCTGGAGCCACATGGCCCACCTGACTCAAAGGTGGTGAGAGTCGGCTTCTGAAGAAACACACACGTGGGCATCTATCAGTGCATCCTGCGCACTCTGAGAGCTTTCCAAGACCCCTGAGTCGTGTATCTATCACATCCCTCAGTATCAGTGAGTATGCATCTGTGGACCCTACAGAAGCACTTTTGATAAAATTTGCTCACTAAAAGCCAGGGCCTGTACCATATGCCATGTTACTTGGCATATATCCTCTCATTCTGCCCCTCAAAATGCTATTAGGGGGACAGTCCTTTACATAAAGATGAGAAAGTGGGGCTTAAAGATGTCTCAGAGCTGATTAGTGCAAAGCCAAAAAGTGAATCCAGATCCTTAAATGCCAGCATCACTGCTAATTCCACTAGACGCTGCTGCTTTTGGATGTAAATTTTGGCATGCAGATTTTGGAGAATAGGACTGGCCAAAAAGTTTTCTGAGGCCTGGGTTTGGAGGCCCATCTTATATCTCAACTCCAAACAGGGTTTTACTTCCATCAACTTTAAAAGAAGTCAAATGTTTTTAAGAATTTTCCGTAGAGCTTACTGGAGAATCAGTGACTCAAAGACCTAAAACAGTTTTGCCTCATAAAAATGCTTATAGGCTGGGCAGTGCTTTAAGAGGCTGCCGTAAGAGGATCGCCTGAGCCCAGGAGTTTGGGAGTGGCCTAGGCAACACTAGCTGGGCATGGCGGCTCTGTGCACCTGCAGTCCCAGCTACTCCAGAGGCTGAGGTGGGAGGACAGCTCAAGCCCAGGCATTTGAGGCTACAGTGAGCTATAATTGTGCAAATTGCACTCTAGCCCAGAGGACAGAGTGAGAATCTGTCTCAAAATATAAATAAATAAAAATAATAAAAGAAAATGAATTAAAAATAAAAAGAAATAAAATTGTTTATAATATTTAACAACATTTTGGAGGAATTGAAAATAAATTGAGAGAATGGTAAATCTGGGCAGAAACGTGAAGATTATTTACTTCACTGTTGTTTTCATTGTATTTATTTGACAGCATGCTATTTATACAAAGAGAATAGTAGCAATACTAAGTTATTTTATCCACTTTAGTAGTAACACTAAGTTATTTTTTGTAAATATTTTTGTTTAAGTTGAAAAATGTCCTCTTAAAAGAAAAATTCTTAAGTAAACAATTGTTCAGGGGAAACAGATATGGCAAAAACAGTGGCACTTGTTTTTGCAGCTGATACCCAGCTGATACCTAGCTGATACCTCTGAGCCCCTGAGGGCCTGGGACTCTGACTCAGTAGTTCTAGGTGAAGCCTGAGAATCTGCATTTCTAATAATTCCCAGGAGCTGCTGCTGTGAGAGCCACAGCTGGAGGGTCACAATCAAGTGTCCTACGGGTACCAGCCCAGCCCTAGGAAGAAGGTAAACTTTCCTTCTACCACACTATTCAGTCCTCACACTATTTGTCTTCGCGGCTAGCAATACAAGTTGCTGGTGGGATCTGGCTGCCTGGTGAGCCCCATAGAAGTGCCTGCCTCCTGGGAGCCTCCATCCCAGAAGAGAGAGCTGCCTGCACACTGGCATGGTACCCCCACTGCCCGGGGGCTCTCCCTGATGCACCTGCAGGCAGTCACCCACACTGCCCGGGGGCTCTACCTGATGCACCTGCAGGCAGTCACCCACACTGCCCGGGGGCTCTCCCTGATGCACCTGCAGGCAGTCACCC